TGGATGATTCTATGAGAAAACATTAGCTGCCTGGTTGAACGATAAACCCCATTTTCTTAAGCCGTATGTGGAAATCCATTGTACCTTTCAGTGTGTGGTTACTGAACACTCACTGGCAATTTCAGGAACTCTGAGCTCAGAGACATTTCTCCTCTTTGAAGAAGTGCAAGAAAAAAAGTCTTGAGACTATCCCTGTTTTGGCTGCGGTTTTCTTCCTTTAAAAAAAAAAAAATGCAGTTCCCTAGGAATAAATGGGCTTGTTTTTCCATCTTGAGTACAGCAGAAGTGCAGCCTCCAGCTCTACTTGGTAATGGAAACTTTCCTCCCTGTACTTGAGCCCAGATTGAGTGTAGGTGAAGGGTGAACACAGTACAATGGCCAAAGCAGCTCCAGCCTGGAAATATCCGTTGAGGAGGGGCAGGGGGTGTTCTGGGATTTTTGCAAAAGAGATTTCTGTCAACCCCATACAACTGAGCTCAGTCCTAGTCTATTTTCACATTTCCTGTTTCAAATTTCATCATTTGAAAATTATCATTTTCATAATGATTTATTATTTTTCTTGTTGTTCCTTTTGCCTGAAATCTCTTCCCTCAAATGTCCACAAGACTTGTTCCCTTACCTCCTTCCGAGGGAGGTATTCCTTGACCATCGAGATTTAAAATTGCAAAACCTCTCTCCCACCAATATGCCTTACTGCCTTTCCTGTTTCACGTTTCTTCATTGCACTTATTGCCATCTAACATGCAATACATTTTACTTGCTTATTTTATTATTTTCTGTCTCTCCCCTTCCCGCTGAATGTTAGGGCAGAGATTTGCATCTGTACTGTTTACTGTGTCTCCCAGCACCCACAATAGTGCCTGGTACATTACAGGTGCTCAGTAAAAATTTGTCCAGTGAACGCATGAATAATATAGCATTGTGGCTGTGGGCACAAGCAAACCTTAATTAGAACCTGGGTGCCATCTCTTATTAACTATGTGGCTCTGGACCACTTTCTTAAGCTCTCTGAGCCTCAGTTTTCTTCATCTGTGAAATGGGATTGATAATAGTGTCCACCCCTTAGGGCTATGTGATGATTACATATATTGAGCCTGGGCACAAAGTAGAAGCTCAATAAATTAGCCATTATCATCACTTCTTCAGATAAAGTTGGTTCTTGCCACACTCAGTATTTCCTACTACAGGTAAATCCTAGCTCAAGAGTGCTACATTGGGGGAATCAGGCATTTCTTGTTTTATAACAGTGAGAGGTTTATTAAAAAAAAAAAATGCTCCTGGTTTAATGTTTCCTCACCTAGAAATGGAATCAGGAGAGGGAAGGGAAAGAAAACGTGGACAATTGAGAAGAAAGTTAACCAGGGATGGCTCTGTCTTTCTGTGAGTTTCCCTATCTCCTAAAGTGTCATTCTGCTAATCAGAGGTAATCGTTTCCGACCGGGGGATTAAAAATGTTCTGCCTGTCATGCTAGCCTTGTCCACATATGCAGTGTGAATGACATCACAGGGGGATGAACTCTGGCTTACTGGAGGAGAGGGCCCGATGAACTTACCATGCAGATTCATACAACCGAGTGGAAATCATCAGAGCCTGTGCATTACAGATGGGGGCAGGGTGGGGAACTGACTGTGCCTTATGACCACAGAGTTTTTATCTTTTCTCCAAGACCTCTCCTTGCACTCAGAAAACCTTCTCAATAAAGAACTTTTCCTGCCCTCAGCCCACCACTCACCACCCGAAAGCAGGTACAAGGGACTCACTTGAATGCCCAGAAGTTCAAATAAAAACATACTGTATTCTAATAGCTAAGGGAAAAAGTAAACCCAAACTTCCTCTTGACTTAAGAGATATCAGAACAAGTCTAGAGAAAGAAAACTAGACTATGGATTACAGCTGTGAGAATGAAGCCCAGTAGATCTGCCATTCTGGAAGTCTCCTACAAATCATCCCGTTGGAAACCTGGGAGCCTAAAACAATACATCTCCTTCCTGCTTTGTGCTACCTGCACCAAGGATTCTTCCAACACAAAAAATGCACCCCACATCCCATTTAAGCCTGCAAGTAACCAATGCTCCAGGTCTCTCTTCTTCCCTAAGTCACTCAGTGAATGAATGAGTAATACAACATTGCGGCTGTGAGCACAAGCAAACCTTAATTAGAACCTGGGTGCCATCCCTTATTAACTATGTGGCTCTGGACCACTTACTTAAGCTCTCTGAGCCTCAGTTTACTTCATCTGTGAAAAGGGATTGATAATAGTATCCAACCCTTAGGGCTATGTGACAATTATAGATATTAAGCCTGGGCACAAAATAGAAGCTCGATAAATTATCATCACTTCTTCAGACGGAGGAAGTCTTAGCGTTTTCAAGTGCTAATCAGCTGAAGAGAGAGGAAATAAAAGAATACAAAAGCCTGGAGGATCTCTTTGAAATTTGCTCTGGGTTAAGGTGTGTGGAGAAAGAGTTGAATCCTGTTGGCCTGTAAGGCTTTTCAATAACAGGGTCTGGGGCTATTCTCTTTTCTCCCACACTCTGGGTGAAAGCTGGGGGTGTCCATGCACACTCTGCATAGCAAGAGAAATCATCCTGAGTGGGGTGGGGGGGACAGAGGTTCTAGGGGGGCAATTGCAGTCAGCAGCCACTTTCCTTGGACCAGTGCACCTAGGTGTATCTTCCCACATCTGATCCCCCTGACAAAGACTCTCTCCTTGACCAAACTTTAGTCAGGCTCCTGAGCCCTCTTCTCAACTAGGTCTCTACCTTGGGCTTTTGTGACTGTCCCTGCAGAGTCCAGTTTTAACAAGAATCCTGCTAAGCCATTAAGAGAGAAACTCCCACCCTCCATATCTGACCAAATTCCTCACCATCCGCCTTTGATGTCTTAGTCCTTAGCCTGACTTCAGCAAGAGTCCCCCTGCCCTTGATGGCTCCTCTTACTAACTTTCCATCCACTGACGCCCCTGCCCCAACCTGCTCCTTGGCCATAAACTTCCACTTGTTCTTATTGTATCTGGAGTTGAACCCCATCTCTTTCCCTATCGTGATAGTCTTGAAGTTTATTGCAATAGTCCTGAACAAAGTCTTCCGTACTGTGTTAATTTTTTTCTCTAAAACCCCTTGTGCTTGGAGGCCCCTCCTGCCTAAGACTGGCTCAAGTGCAGTGTGGAACCCACACAGATGTTCTTTCGCATGCTGGAACTGGCTCCTGTGGCCCCCCAGAGGTTCTGAGTCTCCAGCATCCCTCCCCTCAAAAAACTTTCAACTGCTTTCATAGCCCAAGGAATCCCAGGGACCCTTGGAAGAAATGCCTGCTCTAGGAATATCGCAGCTCATGTCTGCTCTGCACATCTCAAAGGGCCCCAGCCAAGAGTGGCCACAGTGGTTAGGGGTATAAGTAAGGAAACCACCAGTTTTGGAAGATACACACAACAAAAGGAAACAGTAGACTCCAAGTCAGCTCTAACCAATGTTTATTCTGCATTTACTATGTGCCAGGCACTATGCTACATGTTTAAAATGTTATCTCCTGTAATCCTCATAACATCCCATGACATAGATATTATCCTGATTGTATTAATGATGATACTTGAGGAGGTTAAGTGGCTTGTCCAAGACCATCCAGCTAAGTGAGTGTCAGAGTAGGGGTCTAAACCCACTCCTCAGACCCTCAGGCCGGTGCCCTTTCCCGTGCCTCCCCCTGTGTGTGTGGAGTGCCTGCTCACCCAGCTCAGGGCACCCAAATCCTACTCGTCCGTAGGGTCCAGCTCACAGACCACTTCTTTCATGAAGCCTTTTCTGATTTCCATAGCCAGAAGTAATCTTTCCTCCTCTGAATTCCCACAGCACTCTCCTTGTACCACTTTAAAGACACTTTCCACATCCTGTCTTGATTTATTGCTCGTGTATATCTGATCTCTACTACGCGCTCTGAGCATCTCCAGGGAAGAAGCCCCACGACTCTTTGCCTGTCCCCACAGTGCCTCACCAAGTTCTGTGGATATGTTCAGTAACCATTTAGGAATGAATGAATGAACAAATGGAATTACATGTGTACAGAAAGTCATAAGATTATCAAATATAACTGTAACAACATTGATCTTTATTAGGAGAAATAATGATTAGAATACTGAGTAGATTTTTTTTCTTATGGTTAATGCTGGAAAAAACAATGAAGGGGTGCCTTGGAAAACCTTCTTCTTGAGAAACGTAAAGCCAGCTAGTGATTCCAACAGGCCCTACAGACAAGGGAGGTAGTTCTAGATGGTATACATTAAGTTACTCAAATCGGACACATTAGATAGGATGGGTCACCTGAGAAGTTTCTCACTGACAAACATTCTCTGCTTAAGGAGATATGGAAAGAATTCTCTTTCTCTCTCTCTTCTCCCTCTCAACTAAGAGGTTTCCTAAATGGAGAAGCTCACCTTCCCAAATTCCAGGTGGTCTTATCACTTTATGTCTATGGTGATAGCACTCTCTGGATAGACACCACTCCATTCTAATGAACAAACATTTTTGAAAGTCCACTATCAGTTAACTGTTTCAATTCCTCTCTTTAAAAAAAGAAAGCAAACAAAAAAACCCCTCTTTTTCCTTATGTCAATCCCCAAAGCACTTTGCTACTTCTCAAGGCACTCGTTAATTTTATCCTGCTCTGATACAGCCACGGACACTTAGCTCTCACTAAGACAGCATGGTGTACTCTTTCACCACTGCATACCCCAGAGCCAGCACAGAGCCAGCCACGGGCTGATGCCCCCTTCACTGTGCTCTAGTACTTAACAGCATTTGGCAGCTAAGTCCTGGGGCTTCAGGGGATAGTGGAAAAATACAGGATTTGGATTCAACTACAACCAGGTTTGAATCCTGGCCATACCATATACTAACTTTTCACCCTAGAAAAGTCACTTAATTTTATAAGCTTCATTTCTTCACCTGTAAAATAGGGATATTAATACTTAGAAAAATTGTACCAATTTGGTATTATCAGAAATATGTGTGGAAAGTACGCAGCACAGTGCCTGGCACATAGCAAGTTCCCCACAAATGACAGAATGAAAAAAGCACCCAACCAAGATTATAAAATCCCAAATTCTAAACCTAGATTTCCCACTGGGTGATCCTAGGTAAGCCACTTTGTCTCTCCCTGGGACACAATCTACTCATACGAATTTTGCAAGGACCAAGTTGATTGACAGCAACTATAAAGCACCTAGTAAATTACCTCTCCCATTGCAAATGTTCATTCCAAACATTCCTTCCTCCCTTCCCTCTCTTCAACCAGTCACCTGCCAGCCTTTACAAAGAAAGAGAGAATCAATTGTATAACACTGGCCCTATTTCTTCCTTGAATCTTGTTTAGCTATAGTTTACCCAAGATTCCAGAAGTGAGAAGAGAAATTGATGTTACGTCAATGAGTCATCATTTACAGCCCAGTTCCTGAGCTGCCTCATAAAACAGTGAACTCCCTGGCACTGACAGTCAAGAAGAATAGAACCTTCAGAGGAAATGGGCTATTGGTAGTGAGGAGTAGGAGTCACATGCATCAAGAGGAGGGGAGAACTGAGTCACCACTGAGGCATCTTCCTCCTCAGAAAGCTGTGATTCAGTGTGAGTCGAAACTCAGAATACAGATAGACCCTGTGACTTGGGGTAACACTGGATGGGTCTTCCTTCATTTCTACAGCTGCAAATAGGGACACACAGCTACCCTGGTCATGTATCCTAAGACTGAAGCCACAGCTGAAAGACCCTGTATGGATACCATTAGCTATTAGGATCCTCATATTACTTCTCAGCATACAGGGTTGTCTTTACCCATAGTTGAGGAATATGTGCATTTATGAGATAATGTCACCTCAAATCAGTTTTAGAAATCGGAAAGGCTTAAATAAATAAATATCTTAAATGAGATTGTATGGGGAAAATTGTTTTGAAAGATGGTAAGATTCTATACAAAGTATTTATCACTATACTTCAAAAATTTTTTTAAAAAATATTGTATTTCCAATACAGATTTTGAACTATTTCAAATGTCTCTAATATTGGTGGGAACAAGGCTTAAATAAATAAATATCTTAAATGAGATTGTATGGGGAAAATTGTTTTGAAAGATGGTAAGATTCTATACAAAGTATTTATCTCTATACTTCAAAAAATTTTTTTTAAAATATTGTATTTCCAATACAGATTTTGAACTATTTCAAATGTCTCTAATATTGGTGGGAAAAAACTGATGAATCCATCCTAACAGTTTTTTTCAAATCACTTGGTTTGAAAAAGGTACAACCAAGGAAAAAGCTTGTGTTTATACTGAGCTCTTGGAATAAGGTCTGGGTCACAATCAGCAAAAGTCAGAAGTGGGATCCTGATCTCTGCCCTCTTTAATCAGCCCTTTTAGACTTGGAGTCTAAGAAGTTCCTTATCTGGCACAGGTTCAACAGATTTGGTCATGTCTACAAGCATTTTCATTTTCTTGTCCCAAGGGCCTATGCCAGGGCTTTTCTGGGGACTCAGATTCTCCAACCAGTGCCAAGAATGCATAACCTCAGCTCCCAACTCTGCAGATAAATGATCCACCCACTCCTGCTCTTTCTGCCTGGACCAGTGCTGACAGACAGAAGCCACTGGGGCTGGGCGACCTACCTCCCAGCACCTCGCAGTCGCTGTCCATGCTGTCATGTACGCCCGCGAAGATGTTGGCCAGGGTGGACTTGCCCACCCCCTGCTCCCCTATGAGCACCACCCGGTAGTAGGTGTTCCCCGACTCGGAGGAGATGACTGAGTCTGTGGAGTCGGAGGACCAGCTCCGGCGGCAGTGGTCCTCAGGGGTGGCAGAATGGCGGTGGCGGTGGTTATACTGATGGGGCTCTTTCTGGACCATGAGATGCCTGCCATCGGCCGGGATGCTCCAGCGCTGCTGCTGTGGCTGCATGCCCACAGTGCCCTGGCGCATGGTGACATTATTCAGAGTCATCGTTGGGTCCTGGGGAGCAAAGCAGCCAAGACGCCAGCATTAGTAAGCAAGAGTGAGAGCTCAGGGGGCTCAAACACACACTCATCAATGATATTAGATGAGGGAAGAACCAAGTATCCCTAATATAAGGAACACCAAAGAAACAGTCCCAAACCCCAGTAAGCTAGGCTTTCAACATGGCACACACACCCCACAACGTTAGTAACCAGCTCCTCAGGCAGACTGTCATTTGCAAAAAGAAAAAGTACCATTAACATTGCCCACTGTCCATGGGCTTCCTCCATCCTCAAAGAAGCCTTGGGATCCCCACTCGGAGCTGGCACAGAGGCAGCTGGAAGGAACCAACAGCGTCCAGAGATGGCTTGCAAGGCAACAAGTTGATATTGCTGGGGACCAGCTGGCCTGGTTAGCTACTCTGGTCTAAATGCAGTTCTTAACTGCATCAGCGTCCAGCAGGCTTTTGTGCCTCAGTGTGAAACACGTGGCAATGACATCACTCCCACTGGCTGGACTGGACAGGCACTTATTGGAACTTCCATGTTTAGTAAAGTCGCCCTGATGCTCTCCAGCTGCCTGAATAGACCGTTATTGGAGGAGGGGAGATTTCTGTTTGAGGTTTATGCCCAGCTCTGCCCTCTTGCCTACAGATACCGTGTTTAAAAAATCCCAGCCCCAAGCCTAGTCGTTCTGGCAGGCACGTGACCTGCTCATGCTCAGATTTATCAAATTGGCAGATAAAGTGCTTCACTCTTATTCAAACCACGTCCACCCCAAGAGTTCTTCAATTCAACTCAGATTCCCACCTTCTCGGAGCACATCAGAAATCCAAGCTCTCCTAAGTGACATTCAACAACTTAGCTACAACTTTCTCTTTGCAAGACTGCCTCGCCCTGCAGGGAGGGCTGTTCTCCCAGGCTATGTGAGATAAAGTAGAGGCATTCACGTTTGCATCAGCAAGATCCCCGCGTAAGAGGGAGAAAGGCACAGACTATCCTCTCTCCACGCTCATCCCAACCCCTCGGCCACTAACCAGGGCGACCGACCGGTTTTTTTCATTTTAAAAGCAGCGACTTAGGGGGCCGACTTGCATTCAAACAACAAAAGCATGAAGCGTCCCTCCGGCTGGCTGCCCTCTGACCCCCTGATCCTTCTGCACTGAGCTGAGGAACCTGCTGGTGGGAAGCGGCTCCCCTGCACCTGAAGCTCTGCCCTCTACCCGCAAGCAGCAGCGCGGCCGCACCCTGCAGGCTTCTTTGCTCAACTTCCAAAGTTGTGCGGGCGGGAAACGCCCACTCCCCCGGCCCTCCCCGCGGCGCTGGGACAGCCCCTCCCGGGCCATCCCCCTTACTTGGCTCGGTGCGTGCGCCGTCGGTCGGCCCGGGGACGCCGCGCGGGGACGCTCCGCGGTGCCCTCCGCCCGTGCCGCTGCCCGCAGCCGCCGCGGCCCCGCGCTTATAGCGAGCCCGGCCGACCCGCCGCCCGCTCTTCCGTGACGTCCGCGCCCC